TGAATGATTGTGGTAAACTTCATAAGAGTAGGGATGTCAACGAGTCGAGTTAATTTGGCTCGCGAGTCGAAATTTGAAGATAGGATTCGGTTCGAGTAAAAATTGTTCGGATTTTTTTTACTCAAGTAGAGTCGTACTTTTACTCGACCAAAAAATTTGGGCTCGTACTGAATTTTTGACTCGAGCCTTATCGAATTTAGCCAGGCTGACTCGCTTTATAAAAAAAATAAAAAATAAAAAATTGAAACACAGGTCAAAGCAACTACTGCTGCCTTAACAAGTGTAGATAGCTACTGTTAAGGCAACAATCTTTTGACTCAATGTAAGTTTTAAAAAAAAAATTCTCAACTCGTTACGAACTGAAAATGGTCCGTGTCCTTGTGGGTTGGCTCAAGCTCGAGCCAATGCCCTAAAATGGGGCTTGGCTAGATTCTTTCAAATCACGAGTCAGGGTCGCTAGAACTTTTCCTAAATCGAATCACGAGCCATTTGAGCCCACGAGCTAACGTAAGCGTCTATATAAACTTGAGTAAGAGGTCTGTAGTTTACTTTACCTAAAATGGGCCTCGGCCTCGGCTCAATTTTTTCGAATCACGAATCAGATCGACGAGAACTTTTCCCGAATCGAATTACGAGCTGCCTGAACCGACTAGTCAACTTTATGCCTGTATATAAGAGTGAGAGTAATTGATCTGTAGTTTACTTTAAAAATTAATTTTAAAAATAAGCATGCACGCTAAACAATGGAACAAATGCCTTTCTGCAGCGCTTTGAAGTCCGAAATAGTAAATCCCAAGTCAAAAGACAGCGCGTGTTTCAAACTTCATCAAGAAGAATGTTTAAGTGGAAGTAGTGACCGAAGGCGCGTGAATCGTTAAGAAGTCCTCGAAGAGCTACCCAAATGACGTGATGAGCTATGTACGGTGATTGTTGCTCGGACCGAGATGGCGGCCCAAAATCCAACGGGCACTGTTTTTTTGCATGGCTTGTTGTGTACTCAACAGTTCATTCACTTTTCCCCTTCTCTCTCTGTCTGGAGTTAAATGTGCTTCCCAGTAATTTTTTAAATCTAGAAGGCGTTTGTTTCCCATTTCTATAAAAATGAGAATGAAAAATATAGTCGTTATGAATTTCATACAAAAGATACAAATTCAAATTTGGTGACTTAATGTGATAGATAACGATCATATTTTTTTTCATTTTAATAGGAAACAAACGAGGGCTTACTTGTTCCGGCTTTGATCTAATGCCTATGGGCGTTGTGGTAACACCTAATGTTGTCACGTTCACGGTGGACATGAGATCATCTCTATTACTTGTTGTTAACAAATGTAAAATAGTCGATTGAAAGCATCTACAATCGTGACAAGAAACTAGGTATAAATTGATATCTTAAATGGCACCCTGGACGTCAAGCGCTTTTGAAATATTTAAGTCACAATTTAAATTTACAACACGATTGAAGATGCTCTTAAGATCAATAGATGTATATTGAGTGGTTCGTCTTTCCATTTATTAAGAAGAATTAATATACAATATGTCGAAAATGCATTAAAGGATAGGCCCAACGAGACATCAAATGAACTCCTCTAATATTTTAAAAGGTTAATTTTGTTTGGACAAGTAGTTTAATAATTTACATGTTAATTGTAATTTTGATATTTAATTTTGTATTTATTTATTAACATGTCATGTGAAATGGTGATTTGTTTGAGAAAATTAATTTTAAAATTTGCGTACATATTTGTATTTCATTAAATTGAATTGTTCATTTAAACTTATCGAGCTTTGATGTCTCATTTCAATGAAAATGAAAGTTCTACTTCCACGTTAAAATCATTAAAAAATTAATAAAATCCTTTTATGGTAGTTTACTTTTTATATTTTAGACTCCCCTGAGGCTCATCTGTGTCATGTATTTGGTGAGGTGCTTCTCCGGGTCCCCCTTTCCTTCATACTTGGGGATCTTAGGGAGCATGAAGTTTGCCGGCATTGGGAAGCTTCGGATCTCCATTGAAAAAAGGGAGGTTATCATCATCGTCATCAATTTCATAAGATCGACAGGGACCATCTGACCCTTCATCATTTCGAATATCCTGAGGAGGTTGAGGTGCTTCTCCTCGGCTTCCCCAGTCGATTAGGTTCCTCCTATCCCTCCTATTTCTAGGAGCAGGAGGCGCCTGTTTTTGTTCCTGGTCTTGCTGGACCGATCTTCGCACTGAGCGGGCCCTATTACTAGGGTCCTGCCCTATTCGGTCGAAGATGCTTACTGACCTTTGTTCCTCATATTCTTGAGGGAAATTGTCCCCTAGCTGTGGTTTCGCTAGCTGGCTTCCTTGCACATAGGGTGTGGTTTCGGCGCCCACTTCTCTTTCGAGGGGGCGTTCTCTATGCCGGCTCATTTGGCATTAGGAACGAGATACAGGGGCTTCCTGCACTGGGTGAGATCCTTAGTGCATTTGATAGCCCTGATGACCTTAGGCTTGCATGAGAAGTTCATGCATTGCCATATTTTGAGTTGCGATGTCTCTCATGCCCACCGCTATTTGAGCCATCCCTTCAGTGAGCATGACTGTTCTTGCACTTCGGCGACGCCGGTGATGGGGTCTCTGGTGAGTGACATTGTTATGGAGCACCTCTTCTTCAGAAGCCTCTCTCATGGGATTGTCGTCTCCATGGCTGGAATTCATTCTATCTCCTTTTTCAAGGGTGATGAGAAATTGGGATATAACTCAACTGTGTTCTTTTTCAAGAACGTGCTCCTCTCAGGGTAAGTCGCTAGTTTTCTGGTGCTTTCTCCGGTGGAAAATGCAGAACTTTTAATGGGAAGTTTTTCACAGATGGCGCCAATCTGTTGACCTCGAAAATTGGACCCTCCACGTGGCCAACCGAGAGCCACTCCACCTATTCCTCCCTGCGCATAATCAATGCACGGTCAGATGCACACAGCCAGAATCAGCGGGGGTGGCGGCGGCCGTATACACTCCGACGGTCAAGTTAGGCTCAGGTGATCGGAACAGTACCAAGTTTGTGCAAAATAGTGGGGAGGAGAATATATGTTTACTTGCTATGGAGTGCGAAGTAGAAAGAGTTTCATTATCTTTGCTTCTTGTCAAGTCTTGGATATTTATAGGTGAGGAGAGCCGTTGGATGTAAGACACGTGTATACATCTGAACGGTATGAGGCGTCTGCTCATAGGTGTCAATCAGCCGCGTCAATAGAGTGGGCGAGTAGTTATTTCTCCCAAGTTGAGTTAACATAAAGTTAATATGTCACATCAGCTAGTCTCATGGAGACGTCAAATCACTTTAAACCTTAGGGGCAGAAAAGATCTCATTCTGAAATGAGCGGCGGATCCTCAGGCCGAGGTCCCCGGGGTTCATTTCGCCTCGGATTCAAGGGGGCGAGGGCGCTTCGGTCAGTCCTGTAGGATTACATACGGCTCGTAGTGTGATAGCAGATCGTCTCCATTGGTGAAGTCACTTCGGAACCATTTCGGATGAGCGTTCCACATCTCGCGTGATGTGATGGTGGACCTTTCGAGGTGGTTCAGTTAGGGGAGTAACAGTCATAATTTCCAAATTTATCGGAGGGCCCTGAACGGACTTAAAAGGCAACAACATAGATTGTGGCCAACTTAAATTGCATTATTAAAACTATCAATCACCATAAGATCTCATAAAAAATAAAATAAAATAAAATAAAATAAAAAACCCTTGAAGTACCAAAATAGAAAAATGACCTAAATTTTAAGATCCAATTTTCTTGATTTGATTCGAATATTGATCATTGACCATTCATTTGTGCTCTTCCTCTTGTAAGTATATATGCACAGAGGAATCCGAACAAAGGGTTCCTATCAGAAAAGAAATGCAAGTACCCTGCCCTACGCTAAAGCAACCACTCAACCCCAGTGCAATATCATGTAAATGTTTCTCAAGTTTGACTAACCCCATTGGGATAGGGATATGTTCAAGTACTGCTCTGCAGGATTCCTTTAGGGTCGTACCCAGATAAAGATGTGACTGAAGAGAGTTAAAATCTATGCAGTCGAAGCGTTGCACTGCACGCACTTTAGCAATGGAAAAAGGTCATCTTTTCTGCCTGTTTCATAATATACATTATTACACTGAGAGTCTGTTCCATTGCAGGTAGAATTGAATTGAAAACTGATTTCAGGGAATTGAATTAATTAGAAATTATTTTTTTGAAAATTGTAAATTATTGTGTTTGATTGATATAATTTTTTACGTGAAAAATGCTGAAATAAGTGTTTTTTTGTGCTTGTTTGGTTTTGTTTTGCATAAAAATTGTCAATTAAAATGATGAATTTTACTGGTATTGGGAATGAAATTCATTTCCATTGCCAACAAAAAAAAATCCAGAAAATCATATATCTTTGTTTTACATGGAAAATTTCAACTAAATGGAAATATTTTTGTACAATAATTCTTAAAATTTGTTTCCATTGCCACAAAAAAAAAAATCGAAAACAATCGCTACAGTGCCAGAAAAACAAATTCTCACCAATATGATGAGAATTCGAATTCAAGAAAAATATGAAAAATGCTGACATGGCACCCAAATTTGAAAAACGAATTCCTTAGAAAATTTTGTCAATCACAGGCCAAAAGTGAAAGTTAGAATTCGTTTTTCATTTTTCCTAGAAAATAAAGGACTATCAAACAAGCCCTAAGAGTTTTATTTAACACCTATTTGGCTCTTTTTTTAATTGTCCAATGAATGCTTGACATATATCTCCCTAATTCTAAATCTGTCAAATGCCCTATTTGTCTAGCAAAGTCCATTACATGTGTATGTGTATGCATATATGTAGACATGTGGCGACTTGTTTGTTTTGAAAAACGATTTTTTTTGAGAATTTGATAAAAAGTGGGGAAAAAAATACTCAAAAATGATTTTTTTTT